CTCTCTCTCTCTCTCTCTCCCCACTATTTTATGCCCACTAGGGACATTTGAGTGAGTAGATTGAAATACGTTCGAAGCCGATCATGTCATAATTTTTTGACGGAGCCTACGCTGGAAACCCCAGTCTAATTAGACAGAAAAGCTTTAGTTTTGGTCTAGTCGGGCACCTAGAAATCACCCTCGACTTCTTTGTAGCTGGAGGATTTGGTCTTCCTAAGACTTTGACGTTGCCAAACCTCGACGTTTGGCCGTGATAGAATGATACTCCCTATTTCGCTAAGTCGCCTCAAATATGTGGTTGCCGCCCTCGTTACCGTCATCCTTTTCTTGTTCTGTACCGCCTTCCGCGCCACCGATTCTCTTCTCTGGTCGATCTTCATGGTCCAAAACCAGACCTTAGGTTTTCAAGAAATATATATGATCTCGCTCCCGGAAAGGACGGATAAGCGAGACGCTTTTGCTTTACAGGCAGCGTTTTCTGGAATCTCCTATACAGTCGTGGATGGAGTGCATGGTGACGAAGTTCCCTCACACGCTTTACCAAATGTACGTCATGGTTTCGGCATCCACTACGTTCAAAGTTGGTAACACCGGACTGGCAGACGATGGATCAACGATCTAATGTCGTTGGGTGTTGGCGTGCTCACGTCAACGTCTTGCAGAGGATGGTGCGCGAGGGCGTTTCCACCGCCTTAATCTTCGAAGACGATGCCGACTGGGATGTGGCTCTCAAACACCAGCTGGTGCAATTTGCTCGGGGCTCGAGATTCATCCTAAGCGCGCCCGGGGAGGAACTCGCCACTCTTTCTCCCTACGGAGATGACTGGGACATATTATGGTTAGGGCATTGTGGAACTTCAATTCTACCCGACGAACACCGCCGCTTTTTCGTCATACCCAATGATCCCACGGTGGAACCGCCCCATCTCCGCCAGGAGAATTACCACGAGCCCAACACGAGTCACTGGCGGACTGGGCCTGACGGTGGCAGCCGAACAAGGATAGTCTTCCGCTCAGGAAACGCGGCATGTACGGCGGCATACGCTATCTCTCAGAAGGGTGCCAAGAAAGCCCTCTATTACCTATCCATGGTCCCATATAATGATCCTATCGACCTGAGGCTCGCCGCCCTTTGCAAATCGAAAGTCAAGTGTATCTCGCCTTGGCCTCAACTGGTCGGTGTCTCTTGGCCGACCGGAAACGCGGCCAAGTGGAGTGACATTGGCTACGGTCCCGATTCGGAGGCGACTGTCCAGGAAGGGAAATCGCTCCATCTGATGTACTCGGTCCGGCAGAATCTACCAAATATGCTCGAAGGGCAGACGGTCTTTGACAGCCAATACCCTCGTATTGCACCCCCGATGAGTATAGAGGATCTGGGAAGCGCCACCGGTTACCCTGAGACCCTAGAACCTGGCGACTTTCTCTCTCCGCCGAAGGATAAGACCGTTGGAAGTGACTAATGATCGCCACTGGGAGGGCGTTTAGGATTGCCAAATTCAACTCCGGGTCGCTCTACTCCGGGCCTCCCAAAGGCCTTATTCTATAGTGACCGGGAGGAAGCTTTGAGGGCAAGTCTCGAATTCTATCGGCGAGGGTTCTAGTGATATAGAGCTACCCCTAAGGGGACTGGTAAAAATAAACAAGTGTCAAATGGGCTAGATGAGTATCGGTATCGAGAATCCTACAGCTAATTCGAAATGTAAGATCACGTTGATTTTAGAGGAATAGGGGGGTTCCTATAAACATTTTGTTTTTGGTGGTGGGGTTTGCGGATGTGCCTTTACCTGCTTCTCCCCTCCCTACGCCTATCCAGGACTCGCAGGTAATCTCAGTGGCCACACAGTCTAGCTATATTTAGAGAATCCTTCCGCATTTTGGGACATAGATCACTGGGTCGGGACCATTGCGTGATAGGGGTCCTAGAATGTAAGGTAATAACCTCCCAAGCGCGACCGTTCCAAACCTCGGCCTTCCTTGGCCGGTACGCTGATCACGACTTCCTGGTGCGTATTTTTGCCTCGTTGTCTCCAGCTCAGATCGGATTGAAGGATATTCTTGACGATGAATGACGATGCTTCTTTTCGCTCATCGTCGCAAACCTGTTCAGAGGGCATAGAGTATAGGAAGATTCCCAACAGTCACGTACACTACCTTAAGGTACGATCCTATGAGCCAATCTACCTATACTCTATGTCCTCCGAACAATTCGTAGATCTACGAAAAGTGGGCGTAATAGCACAATCTACGTGCAAAGATGGGTGTCCCTTTGCCTCTTGTTGGCCTCGGCGGTGTCAGTGTCATCCAATTCATCAGTCTTTAGCCGAGCCACCGGCCGCCGTCCTCTTCGCGCCATTTGCAGTCTTTCTGCTCTTGACCGTCGGTTTCTCTCCCTCCTCTGCACCATGGACATTCACCTCCGACGTCTTCTTCACCTTCGGTCCGCGTTTGCGTTCCTTTATGAGCTCTTGGCGGGCCGATAGGGTTGCCACATCACCGCCGACGTCGAACAACCTTGCGTTAGGGTAGACGTCAGTACCATAATATGGGACGGCCTATACGGGAAACGTCAGCGCCGTCAGCTTGTAGGTCTATCCCCACCGCATTGGGCATAGCTTCTCCCTCCGGCGTCAATGGCCCCTAGTCATCCCCAAAGGAGTCCCCCTCATTCAATATCTGGATCGTGGTCGCTGTCCTAGAAGCCTTCCTCATTTCAAACGAGGCACTGATCGGCAAGCTCGATGTCGCAACTCGATTGCAAACTCGACGGCCCCCTGGTGATCCGCCGGGACCGGATTGATGTTGACTACTTCTCGAACCTATGGTTCTGTGATGGTTCTGTTCTTGGTTTGAGGCACGCCGCACTTGAACAGATCGACTGCGTTCGACTGGACACGATACCCCTTTCTGATGGGACCTGCAGATGTGATTGCGAGAGTTCTCCCTCTTGTCAATGCCCATCAGGCTCTTTTCTTTCTTCAGATGGACTTCTGGGGTCATACGAGAGAGCATCGTCTCTTTGCCCCCGAGGTCGCTTAGGCTGTGAGGGACGGAGAGGGGGGAATGTGTGGACGCATGGTGGCTGGCTCGGTCGGGGGTCAGATCGTTCAGGCGGCTCGAAGACAGACTTTTTCAAGGGATGTGCATCGTAACCGCAGGTCAGGATTCGCGCCCTAGTGAGCCTATGTGCAAGCAAAGCCTGCCGCTATGGTTGGGATTGTCCTTTCGCCGTCTAATCCAGTTGGCCTTGAAACGATGAATATGTCGACCGTCGCATCACTGCGTCATAATAGCCCACTCAATTCTACCCGGAAATCAGATAGTTTGGAGACGATATGGCGATGATGGCCTCCTACTTTCGTGCTCTTCGACGTGCTACGGGGCCACGTCTGTCTTGAAAAAGTACTTCCCCGGACTTTACGTATGATAGCGGCCTCTATTTGGTGAGGAAGGGAGGGGGCACGCGTCTACTGAATCGCCCATGCCGAGCCCGTAACTGGAAGCTGTCATTTGGATGGTAACGATGAGGTTGGGAGATTCGTCCAATCTCGTCGCAGGCGGCGAGGAAAGTCTCAGCTCATCTTGGCAAAAGCGCTCGTCTTGATAGGCATAGTTATAACTTAGGCTGAGAGGCTTTGGTGATCATGAGAGTAGGCTCAAAGCAGGGTCTCCGCTAGGATGGCGACGATTTTTAGGGTTTGCTCCTTGAGCCTTTTTCTGAGGCAACCGATATCCTTGTTTGACGCAACGCCTTGTGTGGTCGATTGATCTCCGCTAGACACGTCCTCCCTCCCTGCCCACGGACACGGTGGCATGGCTACAGCAAGAACAACCCCTCATAACGGTGTGCATCTTTCGATTGCAGAAAGGATCTTTTCTACCAAGTCACCATCGTGGTTGATTATATCTTGCCATATCAATTGTATAAAACTAGTCAGGCAGGATTTTCGATCAGAGAATGATTGGACACGCTGCGATTTGCAATCTACTCGAATCAGATCGTCATAGTATTTGATACTGCCGACACGCCTTCTAGTTGTATGAGAAACAGATAGAGAAGGCCTCTACACCAGTCAGGCTGTGAAACGATCTAGATGCTGTGAAGAGAGTAGTGTGAGAAGAGTAGGTACAGTATCTCGTACGAGCCGTGTAGGCTTATCTACCTAGCGGTGGGGCATCTGGGGTCGATGTCGCTTGGCTCAGGGGTGGGACCCCATCGTTTCTGACGCCCGAGCACTGGCTTTTGGCCTTGACCTGGCCGTCTTGGAGAAATAGTCTGTAGCAGGAGAGTTTGGCCCCATTGAGTATGAGGTTAAATGACGGCCATCTCAGTTTCGCGACAGGCTTTTCGTAAGACGCCGGTTCCCGGCGACGGTGTTCGGCACACTGCCTTCGGCTTTGGTGAGGGTTGGGGGAGTGTCAGGACACGGTGGATCTCGATCGATTGGTTAACCGTATGCAATTGACTACGTGTAGCTCCTATAGAGAACGACTCGACATTTGGGAGCCCCGGAAGAAACAGTCCCCAGCCGATTCGATAGGGGAGTGATTCATCGCTTCCCCGCGAGCCTGATGCCTTAGCGTGACAGCCTCGTGCCAGAGCCTCGTCTCCTGACGGCCTTGTGCACAACACCTGACTCACCTGCCATGCGCCACCCTCTCGTTTCGTGAGGATCAGGGAGGGCAGTTGAGAGAGGCTGTTCGCGACGGAGAGTCTCACGCTTGACCGGTTGGTGAACACGGGTGACGCCGTTATTTTTTGCGTTCGTCTGAGACGGAACAGTCGTATCCTTCGGTGAATTCGGGCTGGTGACCGACGGCACCGATACCAGGGCTCAGAGTGGTGTCGAAACCGTATGGTACCGGCGGGTCGGAACACTGCTCCGTGGCTCCCATCCCGCCAGGAATGCAACTCCAAGAATGGCGAGCCATATCCCAATTCCAGCTACCTCCAAAACCCAGCCCGTGAGTCTGAAGCACCAAGCGATAATCAGTGCTGCGTGGACAAGCAGACAGACTCCCAAGAAGACATCGAAATACCGGTGTTTCTGGCCCAGTCGTTAGTCAACGGCCTTTCCGCCCGTGCAATTGGTCGAATTGGGTTGACTCACGATAACTTGTCCAGGGTTTCGGTTGTCAGCGGCATTACCAATGATTGCCAAACAAGTTGCCGTGAACCACAAGCTCAAGATGGCCAGAAGGCTGTAGATGACGATGCCGGCCACGTTACGTTTGATTACTGCTGATATAATACTCAACGCGGACATAGCGCTGCGGAGCACAAGAATCACGATCATGACAATACGCCGGACTCGCGCCTGCCCGTCCGGCGTACGGATGAAGTTGTAGGAACGCGGCGAGAAGGTGAAGAATCCACGCAGCCTTGTCCGTCTGGCAGCTGCCGGCGTAGGAGTAGGTCGCGTTGGAAGGTCGACTGGAAAGAATCCGCCTCCGTAGACAGTCTGTTCGTGGTAGGTTTTGTTGTTGTCCATCCTTGTCAAATTGAGTTCGGACTCCATGGCAAGTGGGAAAGAGGAGGGAAAACCCGATCGAAGGAAAGCCTGCTTGGAAACAGGTAGTGAGGGAGAAAGGCTAGGCGGCGTTTTGCACTGCCGGGGAATAAGCAAACGAGAGCGCAGTATAGGTGGTTGAGTACGGCACTGAATCGGTTCACATCGTTGACTCTTTAACGAGCAACGATAACAATAGCAAGATCAGAGTGGCAGTCGACCTGTCGTGGACTAGTTATGTTGTGAATCGAGGCTCAAGTATGGTCTTATCATCGCCCATTCACCCTAGCACGCAGACGCCTATACTGTTCTCAGGACCTGTGGATGCATGTACCATCAATGCCCTAGTGATCTGGGTCACAAAGAGTTATTTCCATATATAGATTGAAATTGTATCTGAATTTAAGTTTCAAGGGGCCGAGGACAGTATTGAAATACACGCATATTCTGGTGTCTACCTCTGGCTTCCGAATTGGCGACGTGTGAATTCCTAGCTAGGTCCACCCTATACTTTGGCAGGAGCCACGGCGTTGATATTATTAGATTTGTGACATTGATGACCCTTTCTTAACAAGGGTCCAATCTCTGCCCGTCACGATGGCAGCCACTTCTCTAGCTTCTGTGTTTTCTAGTGACCGATCAGATGTACAGTATGTAACAAGGCGACAGAGTATGTGGGTTTTCTTTCCTTCGAATGGCAACTTAGGCTGTTTAGAACGGCGTCAGGCCACCGTGCATTTGTTTTGACCTACCAGGTGTCGGCACTACGATCTTAGTACAGTACGCATCTCATCGCTTCCGACTTCAAAGGTGCACAGTAGGATAGTCCCCCTCGGAGAGCCATTTTACGCAAGTGAGGCTAAAAACGCTCTCTAAGCTTTCATCTTAGCGAAAGGCGAGAACCAAAAAGCACGGCTGCGGGCGTCCAAAGTCCCTAAGATAGCAGTCAGCTAACGCACGGACAGTTTGAGCGAGGGCAGAAAGGATGGAATAGTCCTAGTCAGCAGCCGTGATCGGCCTTTTCCACCCGCGCTACCATAGGTTAAAGCTACAGACCGCACGCAATGCGGACCAATCAATCGTCGGCATGATAGCACCTCCGGTGCGATGTCGACGAAACTGACCGTGTGGGAAATGCTAGGCGCTTCGCTCAGCTAAAGCAGCGGGGCCTTATCGGCGTTCCTCTGGTCGAAAAAAACTAGCTGTTGACGCTCACTGCTAGCGCCAGTGGCGGCAATCCGTTATATGACTGGCTATACGGACTCCCACCTTCCAAGGCAAGAGGAGAGGGCAGCCGTATGGAGCGAGCACGATGGCCGCGTGTATGAGAGGCCTCAGTTGTTGGGCGAGGGGGAGGGCAGTGAATATACAACTTGTTTTCGGCCGTCGCCTTTGGCTTCAAATTCAGATGCACTTGGTACAAAAAGTTTGGGCACCTGTGAGGACAATGACGCCATCTATTAGTGACGATACTGCCGTGTCCACCATCGGGGAGATTCCAACGCCGCCAAGTTTCTTCCACAAGGCCAATAGACAGTGGAGATACCTCCCAGGCCATGGACCGCGCGCCAACGGGGGACATCGACGCCATACAGGACTATAACACCGCCAGTCGGCACACCCGCATAGAACCGAGTGCCCAAGAGCACAAAGTCGAGAGGATCGTAGATCGGTGGCCATTTAAAGCGCGAGCTCGAGTTCACGACACATAAGGGATAGAAGGCTACGTTGAGGCCGATTTGACATACGTGTTGGAAATTCATAAGGTATGTAGAGCTCATTCGGTTGCTGGCTTATGAAATTACTGGAAATGTCGTGATGGAAACATCGAGTCAGCATGATTGGGTCTGGCTATCTCGCAGTCTCTGATGGGGGCGTCGCTACCAAAGGTAAACATTTCCCATCTTTCGAGAGTAGTTTATTCCTCCCCACTTTGGCCACTTTGTCACTTAAATCAATATATGACGGACGTAAATGTGAATGAAATTTTAAGTGTAAGTCCCTCATGCCATATGGAGTGGTGTCAGAGTGTAAGGGCAGATATGCGCTACTTCGAAACATTGAGGGTCATCACCATTGTTTGAATCTTTCGGTATCTCTCCTAGCATGTTTTCCGGCCAGTTAAATCAAATTCGTGAGACATCCTCTCCTTATGGCGGATGACGGACCGGAGACGGTGTCTTTCAATCCAAATCGCTCGTTCTTTTGAGAGCCAAACCAGTACCAAGGTTTCAAATCGCAAGGCGGACCCGGACGGCGAAAAAAAGAGTATATACGTGCTGCCGAGCCCGCTGGCCGGCCAGTTGTGGCTTGTTCAGCATTAGCTTCGGCAGTGAGTTCAATCTGTATTTGCTGGGTCGCAGTAGCTCTCACTTGCTCGCCTCTTATCCTGGAAGTGTTAGTTACTGCCCTCGGACAGGCTTCCAGGCAATGAAATACAATGTTCACAGTCAGCTTCCTCGCCCTTACGGAACAAATCACTCCACTTGAGAAGTCGTCGGTCAATTTGTGCCTAATGAATATTGATCGCCTCATACTGTGCCACAAAATCATCTCTGGGTATACCAATCACCTTGGCTACCACACCCGTATCGTCCGGTCGAACGGGTTGGGAGGCGGGGAGTCTTCCATTTCAACAAGTCTTCGAGCTGGGGTAGGAGGATGCGAGGCTTGAATGAGGTTGGCTCAAGGACGATGTCCTCTATAGTATTTCTCGGTCCCACCGTCTGTTTGATCATCAGTCTCCAGTCGATTCGGTAGTGTACAAGTATGTAGGCGGGAGGGATCTCGTCGTAGGCCGCATCACGGTTCCAGTCTTTCATCCGCACGAACCCGAGACTCTGCGGAGGAGGCTCGATGACGCTCGATGACGCCGACCAACTCCTCCCGGGCTGCCCAGCCTGCCCTTGACTGTTCATGTACACGACAGGCGTCAGAGCCTCCCAGAGCTGGGAAAACGTCACCTTCTTCATGCCAGGGTGTCTCATCACGCTCCTATGCAAAGGCGCAGTCTTCCAAGGGTGATGCTAGCGGTCAATTCGAGCCATTTGGCGGTGTCTCCATCGAGAATGTCGTGCAACTTTGGTACCCAGCGCTCTTGGGGGAGGTACAGACTCGCCGTTCCTGTTCCTGCACCGTCCATATGCGCAGTCATAAGGGGACTTTTCGAATATAGGGGCGATCATGGTCCACGTATTCGACATTTTAGTGACTGCCGTTGCCGCCGAGGGCTCCCGGCCTTGTGGCCTCGTCACCGAGTTCGTACTACCTGCGAGCGAAGCTCCGGTGGTCGAACAGTATTAGATCGTGGTACTCCCGCACAAGCACTTCAGAAGGGATACGGATAGGGTTCTGTATCCGTTCTCGTCCGCCCAATTAGCGATTGATAATTAGACAGAGGATTTAATCGCACCAGCGCGCGAATCGCTCCTTGGTGAGGGAAACAAACTGCTCTCGGGAACATGGCCGATGAGGCAAATAGCGAGACGGCGCGAGCGGCGCCTGCGTAGTTATACGCAACCTGACCAACGGAACATGTACAAATACATCCCGCAGGATAGTCAGCATCTCCTGAGGTGCATACGCACGGTATTCACCCTCAACGAACATAGTGGCTTCCGGGAACAACATCCGTCTTCATGTTCTGTGAAGCCTGGGGTGGGCTGACGCCAAAGAACACCCCACCCCCCAACAGGCGGCCAGTGAGTGAAGAAACCCCAGCGAGCTGCCAACGTCGAACGCTCACCGGAGGGGTTGGCCACGAATCTCTTCTTGACGTCAATAAAGACAAGGAGGAACGGGTTGCTGAGGAGAAATGTCCACGAACACAGGGACCGCAACTGCCGCGATGTGGGAGGCGCGTATTAAAACCAGCCGGCTTGGACCAGCAGTCAGCCTACCAGGAGATGTAGACAGCGGAGAGGGCATCGGGCTCCTTGGAAATCCCATCCGGACCTGTGGTGGTCGTCATGGGCCAGGATGACGGTGTGCTGCCGCCGCCGTTCATCATATTGCTCTCCCGAACAGTCGCTGACATCGCCGTGGAAACCGACAAAGAATTTTTCAGCCGCGGACTGGAGATTGGACAATGGGCAGTTTAGTTTTATGGCCGCTAGGAGGTGGCAGAACGTCCGGATGTAAAACCGTCGACGGGCCCTTCTTCCTCATTGTCGGCATGTAATCTTCTGAAACCGTTCTCTTGACGATATGCCCTCAATAGGGCGGCATGATTGCTGCCACGATCAGCGGTACCGCCCTTCTCTTACTCCAGTAATAATAGTTCTGTTGATAAACGTCACGTTCTTCGACGCCATTATCTTCGCCATCCACCGGTAGAAGGCGAGGGTTCATCAGACTGAGAACTTGACCCGTCGCTTCGCGTTGCCGTCCTCCGACACGCTCCACGACAAGAAAGGGAAAGAAGGCAAAATGACGGACGAGAAGGAGATTGTCGGCTCGACGGGGAGTGGGATAAAGAAGGCTCGGATTGGAGGCGTGTCGACTCGGGGAGATAGTGGTGGAGGAAACACTCGGATGGTTGTGTCTGGCTGCAGGGAGTGTGTGAGGGCCATATAATGATCCCCTGCTCAACCGCCACCTTGTGAAGTTGAGAGTCTGCTGCAGCTCAGGAGAACGTCAATTCGGAGGCCCTCAAACCCCTATCTGGGCTAACGTCACCACCGCAGCTTCAGGTGCTGTCATCGTCCGCGATGGCAGCACCTGAGCACCTCGTTCAGCCATCCGTCCATCACGAAGCTGTCGAAGTCGAGCAGCGTCGGCGGCCGCTGGTGAATCCAAAGCGCACATTTTCTGTGCTTCCAGGTCAGGGGTCGGGCCCGCGTTTTGGATACAACCTGTTATACAATGAATGGCGTAATAAAAGGACGGGTAAAGTATGGGAAATGCTGCTGGCAACCTGTATTGGCGCTCTTGGCAGTCTAGTTAAATGGATAAGTTATTCTTACCAAGGGTGCAACAGCTCTTCGACGATCCTCATCAGCACCTCCCCCCGAGGCTCCGCTTTAACACCATCCTAAGGAAACTGTACAATAGGTAGGGCGACAAGGATTACATACAGCATTGGATTCGCCGTAAAAATTCCACAGTATTGATCGTACTACATCATTGAATGATTCTCCCAAGTCCTCTTCCCAAGCGAGGCCCGGGGAGGATGCTAGGTATTGACGGGGCCGCTGTATCTGGCGTTTGGGTCCTAACTAAGAAAAATGACCTGCGGTAATATCCCGCCGACTTCACGAAGACGTCCTTCAGCGGATCTTAATGTTTGTAGAGAGACTGGACTTGCAGTCCCTCCGTCTTACCTTCGAACGATGGCAGACCTCGCGGTTATGCTAGCCTCCGGAGCTCAAACGACCTCAATTTTCACGCCTCGCTGAACGCTCGTCCTGATACCCCGGCCGTGCTCCTTAGTTCGCTCGGATAGTCGCTGGGACCAACCGACACGCTTCTTGCACGCGTCCAATTCAAACTTGATGTCTAGGTGCGGGGCAAATGAAAAAGGAGAAAGAATTCTGCGGCGAGATCTTCGGTGCGCCCCTTCACAGCCTCATGCATGCGTTCAAAGGTGAAGGAAACTGGCGAATGACCGAGCCACGGGCAGGCAACTCCTGCTGTTGTCACACATGCGAGCGGTTCATTAGCGTGGCTGTCGCAGCTACCGACTTGAGGCCCCGTGACAAGCTTCGCCGTTCCCCAGCAGCAGTTGCTTCTTCGCCACAATCCTGGCTCCACGAATTTCTTCTAATTAGCTGATTCATTCCACTGTTCGCGGAGGACGTGGGCATCGAGAATCGCGTCATTAAATCAGCCGACACGCCGACATCCCAACGTACAAAGTTCCCTCAAGTAGCCCGGATCAAATTTCCAACCCACTTTCAATCGCCGAGCACACGGTTTTTGGACCCTGCGTCGTTTCATCCCGTCATAAGGAGCGTGAAGATGGGATGGTATTGTGCATGGCACATAGCCCCTCGCGACCAAGATGCAATCATGCTTAGGAGAGTGTTCGATCGACACACTCACTACCGCATCTACCGTTCATGGTGTCTGTCCCTGGACAAACTATAGGGCATCGTCCTCCCCTTCGACGCTGGCTCCAATGCTATATGGGATGTTGCCACTCCTCAAGTGTTCCTCGCACGAGAGGCGGTTTGCGCTGTCAACATTCGCGCTGTTGCTGGACGGCGCTGTGTTGAGGGGGGGTGCTATGGTGCCGCCATTTCCTTGAGCCGTACCGCCGAACGTGAGCTCCAGATTCTCCGACACTTTGAGGCCCGTCTGGTTTGTGTATAGGTCAGTGATGACGCGTCGTAGGGATGGGATACAGGCAGTGATGACGCTCAAGTTAACCAAGACCTGGTTCAGGATCGAAGGGGTGACGTTGTGCCAAGTCTGGTCTCCGTCCAGGTTGTCGAAGTATGGAGGGAGATATGCCATTTGGGCAATCGCGATACCTGGAAGACTGTTGTCCTGGGTGTCAGCGAACGATATCCATCAAGATGGATCGCAACCACAGTAGGATGCATCACGTAGCCGAATGGCGAAGAGAGAAAAGAGAAATGCGCACAGGATTCGTGAGGCAAAGAGCAAAACCACATAGAACTTTTTCTCTCTCCGCAACTGCAACTTCCAGACCACAAAAGCTGGTAGCATGACCAATGTGAAATCGGTGATCACGTTCAGCACGCCGATATAGTAATATAGGGCCTCCTGCTCTTTCAAGTCAGAATCTGACAGGCCTCCTTTCTACGATACGATACGAACTGAGTTCACACAACGTTCGGCAGCTAGGAGGTAAGGTTGTGGTAGGCTGCATTGAAAGGCGACGGCGAAGAGGGATGTGATGAACCACGAACCAACGATCCCTTCCACGGCGTGACATGCATGCCGGATGGGCCGCATGGGTTGGATGGCCAGAATCAATCGAGAAACAGCGAATTTGGCAAAGGTCAGAGTGGCTATCGTCAGGATCTGGCTGGCATACATGGCCTGGCAGGTGTGAGAACCGTTGTCACCGTTTTGTGGGAGATCTAACTGACCTTGCTGTAAGCCTCAAAGGAGTCCGAGGAGATCCGATCACGGTGTCTACCCAGGCCATAATTGCTTGCCAGTTGCATACAAATAGTTTGTCCTATCGCACACAACTGAGGGGCGAGACCGTTAGTCTTGCGAACGACCTTTCGAAGCCTATCCTGACCCAAGCTTAGACTCACCAGTGTCAAGCCGATGGCGACATCATCGATGGCCTTCAATTTGGTGATGTTCAGCCGAGTTAGATCCCGGGCGATGACCACAATGCCCGAAAGGATGATCAGGAGACAATTGGGAATGGTTACTAACGCGCCCCGGTCGTTGGGCGTTACAACTTCAAAAGGAGGCTTTGTTGGCATCGACATGCTCGTAGTGCGGCAGAATTCAGATAAAGACAATCAAACAGGTCGGGAAACAAAGCTGTGAATGCCAGTCAAAACAATGCTGTTTTGTAAGATTCGAGGTCGAGGTTGTTCACGCCTCTCCTCGCCATGCCCCATCCTGGGACACGGAACAGGGCGGACGGGGTGTGCGGGAGTGACGATGGGGCCCGAAAAGGGTCGAAGCAAGCCCGTATGCCAGTCCCTGGCCGATCACAACACCACCGACACCCCCCTTCACACGGCACTTTGCTTAATCCAGTCAAGAGCACATCCATAGGATGCGGATGCCTGCAACAAGTCCGCCACAAGGATCGAGCTACACGTGCTAAGGACTACTCCGGAGGGTGGATGACAGGGCCCGAGCCATCACGCCCCCTTATTATAAGGAACAAGATCTTAGGTGTTTTTGCTGGCCTCTCTCATATGCTTCCAAAAGTCCTTCCCCCTTTCGGCGAAGCGAGACGGGCGATCGACCGTATAACATAAGCTCGATGGGAGCCTTAAGTTGGTGCCCGAGGTCTTCTCCAGAACTCAAATGA